ACTCCCAGGAAATGAAAAGGGAGCAGCTCCAAGAAGCACCTTCAGAAGAAGCAGCAGACAGCCTCCCAGCACACTCAAACTGGGGCCAGTTTGAGATCAAATGGTGCTGAAGACTGCGGAAGCAGATAACCCTTCACCCAGCCCTGGCACCTTGTCATGTCTGCATGACATCATGAGTCAAGGGACAATACATGCCTCCAACCCCTTCTGAGACAGGGTTTCTCTGTGTAGCCCTGGCTGACGTAGAACTCAGTCTGTAGACCAAGTTGACCTCAAACTTAGAGGAGCCCACCTGCCTCTGCTTCCAGAGTGCTGGGATCAAGGCTACTACATGCTCTTTAGATCTGTGTCCAGACAAAAGTCCCTCTTCCAGGACAATGTTTGGACAGCTCTCTAGGCTTCTAGAAAGAACCTCCAGCTTTGAGGTCCACCTAAAATCTCACTGAGGACAAATTCTACTTTCTTCAGGGAAACAACATGTCAAACAAAACCTGATTCCCAAGTGACATTTGCTACCTGGTTTCCCAAAAAGTCAGAACTGCCATACTGTTCTCCTGAATCCTGGTCACAGCAGAGAACAATAGAAACACCACTGTACAGGCCCAGGCAGAGCTGACACTCAGCTCCTGTTTCCTCTTTCTGACAGAATCACTGGCATTTTAAATTGTCACTTTTCAGAAGAAAGCCAAGCTGAAGCACAAGATGCAGGCAAAGTTCTATGCCCATTGATACTGGAACAGGGCCCTTAAGATGCTAGCGGGTTAAATCTCACCCAGCTACGATCACATAGGATTGGCAGGCCAGGCCTTCCCGACTCAGGAAGTACATCAGTTCATGACACCCTTCCACCAGGCTGACACCCCAACAGTAACAGGAGTTGACTGCAAAGGATGCTCTGAGCCAGGGCAGCATGACACTACCTCCCTGTTCTTCATACCAGCTCAACCCTGCTTCATGCCTTTTCTGAGGTCATGTCTCCATTTCTCAACCACAACACGATACTAATCAGCGTCAGAAGTGCTGTCACTTAACTCTGGGTAAGTCCCTAACTCTGGGCCAGTCAGTCCTCTTACATGAAGTCGGTAAGAAACAAAAGTATCTTGTCCTCTCTTGGCCACAGGAGACACTCTAGCATTATGCTGTCAGAAAGGGAACTGGCTTCATCCCACCTTCCTTTATAGGGATATTGGGGTGAACAGAACACACTGCTGGGGTGCCATGCAAATTAACTAGGGGTGTACATCTCTCCTTGGCAAATTAACTAGGGATATACACTATCTCCCTAGATATCTGGAAAAGTTCACACAATCCACCTTGCATGAACTCCTGAAGCAAGCAAGCAGAAGAAACTCTGGATCTAGAAGGAGCTCATCCAAGACTGCTTACCCAGTTCCTTGGCAGCAAGGAACTTGCAGGCCAGCAGAGGCAAGTGATCTGAAGTGGGAAACGATGGCTGTAGTGCCTGCTTCTGCAGGAGTGACAGGAAGACAGTGGCTCCTAAGGACATTTGCTCCAAAGCCCAACAGTGGTTGAATCAAGTCCTCCTTCACCAAGCTTTCTTTGGCTACTACTGTACCCAGGGCCAAAAGCCTGCCTTTGGAAAGCCCCATTTTGGACCACCACTTCACTTAGGTTTTCATGAGACTGTACTGTCCTTGCACAGTCTTGAAGAGTAAAATCTGTTAGCCATAGGGTTACACCCACATTCTCCACAGACACATCTCAAGCCACCTGTGATCTTCTCAGTCTGATCAAGGCTCCCATTAGGCCATTCCACAGCTGGCCTTCAGGACGTGGAACAGTCCCAGGGCTTCTTAAGGAAATGGGGGCTTGGAGGCAGCTCCTGAGCCACAGGCTCAAGAGCAACCATCATGGAGAAAAGGAACAGGACTCTTTTCTAGGAAAGGGACTAGATATGGAACAACTATGAGGATGCAATCTCTCAGAAAACATGGTTCACTCAGGCTTTTCTCAAACAGCAAGGGTACCATAGAACTAAGAACCCCACCACTGGCCAAAGCAGGTGTTCACTATGATTTCTGTGCAAGAGTAAGTCATACCCCTCACCTTTTTACACAACACAGACTACAAGCAGATATGCAGTACACTTCAGAGGCTGTTGGCACCCTGAGCTAACACACACTGAGGTGAGTGAAGAGTCCATAGTTCTGGAAGTCTGTTAGCTGCCTTTTGCAAGGGAGAGTGGACTTCCTGAAATACAGGCCTGGAGAAAGGATAGTGCTTGCTGCTGCTGAGTCTAGAACACAACAGAACCAGCTTTCCTCCTGAGACCTCCTTGGTCAAGGAGCTGGTCAGTCAGATGTCATTCTCAACTTCAGAGGCTGTAGACATCAGGTCAGCTGCCTGGCACTGATATTTTTAAGTCAACAGCTAAACTGCCCAGCCATAATTGCACGTTCATAAAGGTAAGCACTACATGACACCATTCTCTGTCACTTTTCTCTGAAGAGGGTTAATTTTAGTGTTGGCTCTTCAACTCTGTCCCCGTTTTGTATTTTTTCCATGAACATCCTAAATATGTGTCAATTACCAAGTGGTGGAGCTCATCAGTGGACAGAACAGAGCAGAGAGCCCTGTGCCAACACGCAGCTCTTACCTGAGCCCTGAGAAATCCCAGAAAAAGTACAAATGCAGGGCACCCTGGAATACCTCAGCAAGAAATCAAGGACAGTCTGCCAGGCTGAGTTTTACAAAGATCCTGCAAAGCCAACACCTGTCACATACATCTAGTTGTATTAATGGATGGTCACCGACACAGTGCGTTTAGGGAAACAGTTCTCTCCTCACTCAGAGACAAGATCTCAACTCATGCCACCACAATAAGGTCTTCCTATCACTAAAGCCATTTGAGATATACACTCCAAGTAACTTACCCACAGGCCAATGAGCATAGTAACACTTAGGCACAAGAAGAGTCAAGAAACTAATGTGTGTGGGCCAAGTATGGTGGCACAGGTGGCACATGCCTTTAATCCCAGCATTTGGGAGGTAGAGGCAGATAGATCCTCTGTGAGGCCAGCCTGGTCTAGATACATAGTTCCAGGTAGACTCTGTCTCAAAAAAAAAAAGAAAGGAAAGAAAAGAAACTAAAATATGGGCCTTCTTTCTTAATAACCCTTTAAGTCAGAGCCTTACCTAGCACTGGACCCCCAAGGTTGTTGCCCCACCTGATCTACAGCATCATGACTACCTGTCAAAGCACTTGCTGATCCCAACACCCTCACAGGCAGCAGTCAGGTCCCCTGATAATATTTCAGCAAAGGAATTACACTGTGGAGGGTGGGCAGTGGTGATTCATGAATTTTAATCCCTGCAATCAGGAGGCAGAGGCAGGCAGATCTGAGGCTAGCCTTGTCTACGAAGAGTGAGTTCCAGGACAGCCAGAGATACACAGAAGAGGAACCCTGTGTCAAAAACAAGAAAAAAAAAATTAACTGTGTGCACTGTGGCTTCAAAAGAGATGCGAAAGCCACCAAGGCTACATTTTCATATCACCTGTTTTTGTCTTCTAATATCCTAATCATGTGATTATACAGTCAGTATTACAGTCAGTAATACAGTCACTGACAAAAAAAAAAAAAGCCAAAAGCTACAAAAAAATACTTTCTGGAAAATTTTAATCTAGCCTGTCCCTACTCCACCCCCCCCCAAAATATCTAAAATATTTCCTAAATTACTATCAAGTTGATTTTGATGGGACCTGAAGGCCAGGAAAAAGAGAATTACTTTGGATTTGGCAAGCACATTCTTACAGAGACCAAGACACCTCCATCTCTACCAAGACTGCACAAACAATGTGACTGATTCTTCTGACACACCAGAATACTGCACAATGCTAAGAGTAAAAAGCCAAGCAAGGGAACCCACAAAGGCTCCCTGCTCAAACCTGTTACTGGCCAAGCCCAAGATGATTTTTCTTCCATTTCGAGCATATTAAAATGTGATCTCAAAGACCACTTCCTGATCTTCCAGCAAACACTTCGTATCTGAATGCCTGTGCATCATCTCATGGCCCTGCTCCTGCCAGGAACAAGGACCTCCGACCCCTACACTGCCAACAAACCTTTGGAAAAAAATACAAGAACAGGTGAGATTAGTCTATGCTCACACAGGAAGACAAAGGTGTCCTTCTGCTCACAGGGCTCTTAGCAGAAGAAAATGTGACACAAAGTTAGCCCTTCCAGTTAAATCTTGACAGCCTAGGGCCCAAAGCTCCAGAATGTCCTTCAAGTGGGCAAAGAGAGATGGAAGTAGGACCGGAAGGTAGGGGTGAGAAAACAATCAACTGTGATGAGCAGTAATTCAGTACCAAAACCCCAGGCTTTGGCTTCTGATCAGACTCGAAACGGAGTATGTAGGCCAAGAAAGATGACAGGAAGGATGCTACCCTCTGTAGGCAGCGACCCCAGGGGAGGTTTATCCGGCTATGTCCAGTCTTAGAGAAGAGAGGAGACACTTCAGGGATCCTAGGCAACAGACAGGGGCACAGTGGGCCTAGGGCTCCCTACAAGCCCACGAAGGAGATTTCAGCCTATAAGACCGAAAGGGAGGAAAGGCCGAGACTCGGGAGACGCGGGCTACCCGAGTCATCGCGGGGACACCAGTTGCTTCTCACCTTGCCCCCGGCAGGGAGACCTTCCGGGGGGCTCTCAGTTCCCGGGGTCGGATAGAGACAGATGGGGCACGATGGGAAACACCAAGGGCAGTCAGGCTGGGACAATCGAGGAGAACCAGCTCTGATCAAAGCTCTGAAAGATCCCTCAGTCCAGGCCGCGTGAAGCCTCGGCCTCAGGTACCCTTAGCTGCCGGGCTATCCGCCTTGCCTGAGGCTCCCGGACCCAGGACAACCAGAGACCGGGATGGCAGCGGCTGTGATGGGCAGAGCGCCGCCGGGAGAGGACCCCTGGCCGGGGACGCGTTGGAGGGGGAGGGTCCCGGCACATGCGGCCTCGGTCCCCGATCGCGCGGCAGTCACTTACGTTGCTCTGGGAATCGATGGCCTGCAGCAGCCGGTCCCTCATCTGCTGCGGAGACGTCGGAGCCGCTGTCATTGCCTGGGCGAAGCGGGGGGGAGCGGCCGGGCCGGCGAGCGGGCGGGCTGAGGCGGGTGGACGCGGGTCAGTCACTCGCCGGCCTCCGGGAACGGAGCCGCATGTTCCCCGCGGCGCCAGAGGAGGTCGGGGCGCTCGGGGAGATGGCGGAGGACGGTGGGAAGCGGAGGGGACCGGAGCTCGGGCCCCGGACCGCCGCCGCCGCCGCCGAGCGAGGAGGAGGAGCCGCCGACGGAGGAGCCGCCGCCACCGCCGCCTCGAGAACCAAACTCCAGTGAGCTGCCCCCGCGCTGAGCACTCTGGGTAACCCGCGCCGCACGCAGCGTCGGCGCCACGCTGAGGAGGTTGGGAGATGGGGGCGGGAGGAGACGCTGGGGTAGGGAAGGGCCGACTAGTGAGCTCCGCCTATAGCGTCTGCGCGTGCGCGCGCATGCGCAATTTGCCAGCTGGAGCCGCCCCACTCCTCGGCTGGACCTCGAGAGCCGTTGGGAGGCAGTTGGGCGGGGCAACGGACGCTGTCTGAGGACCACGCCCACTCCCAGCCGGAGGGCGGGGCTTCCTGACGGAAGCGCACCGGTTGCGTTCTGGAACTGCGACTTTTCCACCAGGTGGCCCGGGGCTACGGAGTGGGAAGATCCTCCTCTCGGATGAGCTCCTCCTGCGTCCAGGACCGTGGGGCTGGAACGGCTGTGGAGACGCTGAGGAGGACAGCGGTGATCCGCGCCGCAAGGACCTCGGAGGAGCTCTGCGTAGCCGTCGCCGTGCAGAGCCCCGAGGCGCGGGTCTGCAGGGCAGTGCGTGTCCCCGTGTGACCCGCGCGCTGAGGGGACCTAAGGGCACGTCTGGGAGCCGCTGCCTCCGCAGAGGGCGCGAGTCTGCAAGGCCTGCGTGACGCTGACACCTCTGCTCTGCATCCTTGCGGGGGCGAACTCAGGAGGAAGCACCGCTTTGTCGCCGGCTTGAGAAGCTGCCGGGCTGGAGGTGGTCAGCCTGCGTCTGCACTGCATGTTGCGGAGCTGCAGCCCGTTGTCCTCCCCTCCGCGTTCCGGGGGACCGAGCGCCACTCGCTTTGCATCTCAGGTGCTTGAAAACGGGAACGCTTCACCGAGGAGGAAAGGAAGCGCCAAGGTCACCTGGAGTTTTAGGTCAAACCAAGAAACGAAGGAGGTCAAGTACAAGGGCTGGTGACCCATACAGATGAAAGGGTGGGAGGGCGGGCTCCGAGTTTAGCGTACTAGACTACAACTTCCTTTTTGTGTTGTTACCTTAAAAATCCAGTCTTGAAACGGAAAGGGAAAACATGTGCCCCTGAGAGCTGGGCGACACCTGTTAATTTTGAATTAACACCTGTTAATTTGAATTTTTTTTTCGAGCCAGGGATTCTGTATGTAGAATCCTGTCCTGTACTCACTTTGTAGACCAGGCTACCCTCGAACTAACAGAAATTCACCTGCCTCTGCCTCCAGAGTGCTGGGATTACAGGCGTGTTTGCTGGCTGAATTTGTTACACTTTTAGGGAGCATCTGAGGTGGGAAAAAGCCAACCATTTAATCCCAGTGCTCGGGAGGCAGGAGGGTCTCTTGAGTTCCGAGTCCAGCCTGGTCTACACAGTTCCAGACTAGCCGTACTATGTAGTAGGATCCTGCCCTTTCATCTGCCCCTAGAAAAATAAAAGCTTTATCATGGCGTGTTTCTTGATTCTGCACATGGCAGAAGACTTTGCATTATACCAGTAGAATGAACAGGAACAAATACTTCTCAAATACACTCTCTCCCTGGCACATGTTTGAAGTTCATAGTCCAAATTGGAAAGCAGCCCATTCTGAAGATACATTTAATCTCACCGAGAGGCAGAATAAACAAGTTCCTCCATCAACACTAGCCCCTAAATTGGGGAGTATTGGGGGGTGGGTTTGTGAAGCCTGAGCTGGTCTCAAATATTTGTTCTGCCAGTGCCTCCCTAGTGCAGGAGAATTATAGGTGTGCCAACTTTTATTACTATTTTATTATCATTAGTTGATTTTGGTTTTCTTTTTTTTTTCTCCCCCTTAGACAGGCTCTTACACTATGCAGCCCTGGGTGGCCTGGATCTCACTATGGAGTTCTAGCAGGTTTGGCACTCACTGTGTAGACCAGGCTAGTTTGGAGCTCACAGAGATACACCTGAGTCTCCTCCCACCAAAAAAGCTGGAATTAAGTGCCCCTTCCTGCCCTGCAGACCTGTTATCTTAATTGTCAGTCATTAGTATAGTATGTCTTTTTTCAAAACAAGAATTATAGGTTAAACAGGCCATTAGCTTTGCACGGGCCAAGTCAGGAACCATATTGGACATCATTCAATTAACCTGCTGGCTGGATTACTTTAGACCTTTCCCCAGGTTTTGGGAGCATCATATGTAGCCTAGACTATCCTTGAACCTTTATTCTTTTCTTATTTTTTACTTTTTTATATTTCTTTATTTGCCTGGCATGGTGGTGCATGCCTTTAATACCAAAACTCAGGAGGAGGCAGGAGGATCTCTGTGAACATAGTTCAAGGACAAGGGAATATGTATGGAGACCCTGTCTCTAAGCATTTATTTGATGTTAATGTATTGCCTGTGCACCCACATGCATGCCTCATATCCACAGAGGCCGGAAGACAGAACTAGAATTATAGGCAGTTGTGAGCTACCCTGTGTGTGCTGAAAATTGAATTCCTGGTCCTTCTTCAAGAACAAGTGCTCTTAACTGCTGTACCCTCCAGCCCTGGCCTTGAACTCTTCATGCTGCCTCCACCTCCCCCAAACACTAGAATTGCAGGCATCCACCACCATCATACCTGGCTCTTCCTGTATTCTTTTCTTTTTCTTTTTTTGATTTTTTGAGACATGGTTTCTCTGTGTAGCCTTGCTTGTCCTGGACTCATTTAGTAGACCAGGCTGGCCTCGAACTCAGAGTAATCCATCCGCCTCTGCCTCCCTGAGTGCTGTGATTAAAGGTGTGTGCCCCCACCCTTGGCTTGTTTTATTTTCTTAAAGATTAATTTTTATGTTTGGTAGTAGTGGTACATGCCTTTAATCTCAGCACCCTGGGAGTTCAGGGCCAGCCTGGTCTACAAAGGGAGTCCAGCACAGCCAAGGCTACACAGAGAAACCCTGTCTCAAAAAATTAATTAATTAATCAATTAAAAAAGGTGTGTGTGTGTGTGCTTAAGGCATGCAGGAGGGGGCTATCATGTAGGTGTGGGGAAATTGAACTTTGCTCCTCTGAAAGCAGCAAGCATTTTTAACTGCTGAGCCATCTCTTCACATTTTCTGATTTTATTTGTTTACTATTATTATTATTTACAATTTATCTACTTTGTATACCAGTTGTAGCCCCCCTTCCCTCTTCCTCCCTTTACCCTCTTCCCCCCATTGATAGGGGAAGTCCTCCTCCCCTACCTAGCCTATCAAGTTCCATCAGGACTGCCTGGATCCTCTTCCTCTGTGAGCTGGCTAGGTTGCCCCACCAGGGAGAATTGGTCAAGGAGCAGGCAACTGAGTTCATGTCAGAGACTGTCTCTTCTCTTACTAGGAAGCCCACGTGGAGACTGAGCTGTCAGTGGGCTACATATGAGCAAGGTTCTAGGTCCTCTCTATATATGGTCTTTGGTTGATACATTGTTCTCTGCAGTTCCCCCTGGGCCCTGCTTTTTGTGGCACTGTTGGTCTCTTTGTGTGGCTCCTGTCCCTCCAAGGTCCTTCTATATCCCCCTTCTTCCATAAAACTCCCTGTGTATGTTTGTTTTGAGAAAGGGTTTCTTTGTGTAGCCCTGGCTGTCCTAGAATTCACTCTATAGACCAGGCTAGGCTCAAACTCATAGAGATTCATCTTCCTCTGCCTCCAGACTGCCTGACTCCCATTTTCTAGTTTCAAACTAAAATACTGTGCATAGGCTCATTTCCTTAAGTTTGGTTTCTGTGTGTTGTACATGTGCCACTGCGCACGTGGAGAGGACAACTGGCCAGAATCAGCTCTCTTCTTCCAACATCCTGGGGATTGTCTTAGGCTTGGTGGCATTGGCTCTACCTGCTCAGCCATCTGGCCAGCCTTATTTTCACTTTTTTTTTTTTTTCCTTGTCAAGCCAAGGCTTGAACTTGTAATCCTCCTGCCTGAAACGCAAATGTAGTCTTAACTTTCAGAAACTGGAGGCAAGAGGACCAGGAATTCAGGTGCAAAATTGGCTACATGTTGAGTTTGAGGCCAGCCTAGGCTATGAGTATATGAAATTTGTAGGCATAATGTTACTGTGTACTGTGTATAGATTCAAATGCCAATTTTTATGTCCCCATATCTGGTTGTAATCCTTGTTCTGAGAATCTCCTATCCAAACTTGGCTCCCCAATTGTCCCCTGATATATCAATAAAGCAACTTAATAGCTAGTCACTGAGTAGGGGAGAGAATAGGGCTGGACTTCCTGGCAGCCAGGGAGGAGAAAAGAAGGGGTGGGGTGGGGTAGGGATTCAGCCAGGAGCAGAGGTCCAGGAGACATCATGAGAAAAGGGTAGCTGGAGCAGAGAAAGCCAAAAAGTACACATGTCCTGGGGATTTACTCTGGAAGGAAGCCAGACTAGCTTAGGGGATTAATATTGTTAAGTTGTTGTGCTGTAAAGCTTATTAAAGAAATAACACAGTCCAGTCTCAATTATTTGGGTGCTAGCCAGGTTAAGAGAGAAACTGCAACATACATTTTTAAAAATAACTAGCAGAAACTGTCTCTTAAAGTAGGGATGGGGTAGCTGGAGAGATGGCCCAGAGCTTAAGAGCACTGGCTGCTCTTCAGGAAGACACAGATTTTATTCCCAGCACCTACATGGTGGCTCACAAGAATCTGAAACTCCAGTTCCAAGAGAACTAAAGCCACCTTCTGGCCATCAGGAAAGCAAGACTGTAAGGTAAATGTGGTATACACACCTGTCATTCCAGCACCAGGGAGGGAAAGGACAGTTAGTTGGCCTGTAGCGCACATGGCCTCAAAACACAAGGATAACTCCAAAGAACAGACACAACTTCTGAAGCAGAGTGCAGCTCGGACAGCAGGAAGGGGAAAGGTCACTCTGTACAGGACAACCAGGACATGTCTGAAAAGGTGATGCTTCGACTGAGACCGGTCAGTGTTTTATACACTCTGATCTGGTGTGTAAAAGTCTTGGAATTTCTTCAAAGGAAGCAATTGGAGCAGACATATGTACACACAG